CCACAGTGCCTTATTCTACCCCTTCCTATCTGTGTACCTGTGGGCAGGTTACTTACTCTCTTTAAGACTGAATATCTTCACCTGAAAATGAGATTTTTAATAACCACTTAACATAAATTAAAAATAAATAACAATACATTTTAATAAGTGACATACTGTATGTAAAACACCTTGCGGGGGTCCTAGCATATAGTAAGCTTTGTTTTTTTCTTTTTTAAAATATGGAATGCTTGCCCTGGCTGGTGTGCTCATTGGTTAGACTGTTGCAGGGTCAACCCCCAGCCCCAGTCAGGCACAACCAATCTATGTGTCTCTCTCACATCAATGTTTCTCTCCCTTCTACTCTCTCTAAAAATCAATGGGGAAAAAATATCCTTGGGTGAGGATTAACAATACATACATACATACATACATACATACATACATATATACAGAATGCTTCACAAATTTGTGTGCCATCTTTGCACAGGGATCATGCTAATTTCTGTATCGGTCCAATTTTAGTATACTAGTATGTGCTGCCAAAGCGAGCACTAGTAAGCTTTCAATAAATGTTAATCTCTTTTCTCTCTGTGTGTGTTCATCCCAATATAAAATAATTTATACCTCCTTTGCTGTCCAGTAAAACTTTTGTGAAAACAAAATGTGCACATCATACATCCCACTTTGTCCTATAGTGTTGTTGTTGTTAATCCTCACCCGAGGATACTTTTTCCATTGATTTTTAGAGAGAGAGGGAGGGAGGGAGGGAGAGAGAGAGAGAGAGAGAAACACTGATGTGGGAAGAGACATATCAATTGGTTGCCCCCTGAGAACTCAGGAATGAACCTGCCACCCAGATACCTGCCCTTGATCAGTAATGGAACCTGAAACCTTTCGGTACTTGGGCCAACACTCTACCAGGGCAATGTCCTATAGCATTAACATGCATGTCCTCTTTGTTCTTCATTTGTAGTGCCCTTAGGGATTTGAGGCTTAACTTTATAGGAATTATTTCACCTTCCCATTGTTCCCAAACTGAGACTCTTAGTATCTTGAACATTGCATACACTTAATACTTGTTTTGTTGAAAGCGTGAATGAAAATAGCCCTAGCCGGTTTGGCTGAGTGAATAGAGCATCGGCCTATGCACTGAAGGGTCCTGGGTTCGATTCCAGTCAACGGCACATGCCTGGGTTGTAGGCTCGATCCCCAGTAGGGGGCATGCAGGAGACAGCCAATCAATGATTCCCACTCATCATTGATGTTTCTATCTCTCCCTCTCCCTTCCTCTATGAAATTACTAAAAATTATATTTTTAAAAAATAATAAAAGAGGAAAGTGTTAGACCTATAGGGCAATATGATCCTTAACAGTCATTTGTAAGCTTCCTGCCATAGGAGAACAAAGGCCAAGAAGACTTTCTAGACATCAGGAATCAGACCATATAAGGAATTGAAACTGTTCTAAAAGACACCTGATCGCACACCTGCATTCCATCCACACTCCAAGCCCACCTCCTCAGCCCCCAAACCCACTGATGACAACAGTTTCCCGCCAGTGATTGTATATAAGGATGGAATTCCAGCTCCTGGGTGCTGCCATCATCGACCCAATGTCCCCTTGGCTTGGTGCTGTGCAGCCCTTCCCTTTGGATATCCCATCCCCTAGCCCCTTTTCTTAAATAAATTCCATTTTCTTTAATCACCGTCTTGAGATGGCTATTTAGCCTGCTTGCATGCACCAACCATGTTAGCCTTTCAGAAAGGAAGGGAAAAAAGGAAGACATTGAAAAATAATCTACCTGCCCATTCACTACAATAAATATGAAATAATTTCTTGTTCATTTTTTCTAATGTTATATATATATATGGCTTGTGGGCTAAGATTTTGCTCATTAATTTATTTACTCTTTGTTTTACCATATGTAAAATTATTAGAATAGGGCCTGCCAAATGTAAATATTATACAGTATAAGCTTTTACTGTTATTCCCCTCCCCTATCAAGTATACTTTTAGTTTAATCCCTAGCAAATACTGCCAAATATTGTCCCTCACTTGCTGTTCCAATTGAGACAAGCAGGACGATCTCTGGACTTCTGTTCTATTTTGGGGGAGAAGGGTTGCGGGTGAAGGGAGAAACCCAGGTTTGATAACAGAAAATCCCGCCTGAATGCTGCCATCTAGTGTTTACTTCATAAAACTAGAAGCACCCATGCTTCCTCTCAGCAAGGACCATTTTAAAACTGTTTTGTTATTGGATCCCAGGTTTTGAAAAATTTTGATAATCAAAAGTAAAAGAGAACTTTTGGCAGTATTGAGGTGTAAATGAGGAACTAGAGAGTTAATGCTGCTATCCCCATTTTAAAGATAAGAAAATAGAGGACTAGCCCTAACTGGTTTGCCTCAGTGGATAGAGTGTCGGCCTGTGGACTGAAAGGTCCCAGGTTCGATTCCGGTTAAGGGCATGTACCTTGGTTGTGGGCACATCCCCAATAGGGGGTGTGCAGGAGGCAGCTGATCGATGTTTCTCTCTCATCGATGTTTCTAACTCTCTATTCCTCTCCCATCCTCTCTGTAAAAAAATCAATAAAATATATATTTTAAAAAAAGAATAAGAAAAGGCCTGGCTAGTGTTGCTCAGTGGTTAAGCGTTGACCTATGAACAAGGAGGTCATGGTTGATTCCAGATTAGGCCACATGCCCAGGTTGTGGACTTGATCCTCAGTAGGAGGCATGCAGCCTATCGATGAAGCTTCTCTCTCATGGATGTTTCTTTTCTTTTTTAAAAATACATCAACATCTGTGATTTTTCATTTAAAGGCTGGTCTTGCCTTTAAATATGTACCCAAGCCCTAACCAGTTTGGCTCAGTGGATATAGAGCGTCGGCTTGAGGACTGAAAGGTCCCAGGTTCGATTCCGGTTAAGGGCATGTACCTTGGTTGCAGGCACATCCCCAGTAGGAGGTGTGCAGGAGGCAGCTGATCGATGTTTCTCTCTCATCGATGTTTCTGACTCTTTGTCCCTCTCCCTTCCTCTCTGTAAAAAAATCAATAAAATATATATTTTAAAAAAAGAAAGAAAGAAAATAGAGGCCTAGACAGTTTAATTTGCCTTCTTTTTTGAAGCTAGTTGAGAAAAGAATCAGAATATATATGGCGTGGCTCAGTGGTTGAACATCGAGCTATGAATTAGGAGGTCATGGTTTGATTCCTAGTCGGGACACAAGCCCGGGTTGAGGGCTTAATCCCCAGTGTGGGGTGTGTAAGAGGCAGCCAATCAATGATTCTCTCTCATCATTAATGTTTATATCTCTCTTTCCCTCTCCCTTCCTTACTTGCTGAAATCAATAAAAATATATTTTTGAGAAAAGAATATATCCTGTCAAACTATGCATTTTCATCCCTACCCCAGATATAGCCCTCAAATCCTGGTTAATATCCTCATAAATTTCTACAGTATCCTTGCTTGAGAACCACAGCACTGAAGAAACACAAAACCCTCTGCATATTAATGTTCTTGAAATAAATTGTACCATTGAGACCTAAACCAACTTTCAAATATCTACGTTAGAAACAACAAGTGCTAACTACAAATCAATTTGAGTCAACTTTGTAAGAACTGAACTATGTGATTTAAAGGAAAAATGAGCAATAAATAATAAAATACTTCCCAAAAGTACCCTGCATCCTTATCTTCATGAGCATTAAAACCAAATGATAGGCTGCATTGTTGTAAAAATAATGGAGATGTTATTTTTAATGACTTCTAAATTAAAAAATAAGCTTGTAATCAATGTTTAAATTTATTTCATTTTTGTGGTGGTGGGATGAACATTATTTTATTTTTTAAAAGTTATCTTGCCCTAGCTCAGTGGTCGGCAAACTCATTTAGTCAACAGAGCCAAATATCAACAGTACAACAATTGAAATTTCTTTTGAGAGCCAAACTTTTTAAACTTAAACTATATAGGTAGGTACATTGTTATTAACTTAATTAGGGTACTTAAAGCTTAGGAAGAGCCATACTCAAGGGGCCAAAGAGCCGAATGTGGCTCGCAAGCCGCAGTTTGCTGAACACAGCCCTAGCTGGTTTGGCTCAGTAGATAGTGTTTGCCTGAGGGCTGAAAGGTCCCGAGTTCAATTCCAGTCAAGGGCACACTCCTGGGTTATGGGCTCCATCCCCAATGGGGGATGTGCAGGAGGCAGCCAAACAATGATTCTCTCTCATCATTGATGTTTCTATCTCTCCCTCTCCCTTCCTCTCTGCAATCAATAAAAATATTTTTTAAAAATTATCTTTATCGTTGAAAGTTTTATAGATGTCCTCTTTGTTTTTTTCCCCATTGACCCTCTCCACCCCACTGAAAATTATTTTAAAGGAGAAAAGTAATCAATTAAAAACTAACAATTATCTCTAAAACCCACTTAATCTTTCTTAATATTTTGATGTATCTAAAGTTTTAAATGTACATTTGAATGTGTGTGTAATTTTTAAAGTAGCAACATGCTAAATGTGCAGTTTATCTTTTTTTTAAAACAGATATATTGGTGCCATGGCTGGGTAGCTCAGTTGGTCAGAGCATCAAGCAGATACACCCATGTTGCAGGTTCGATCGCTGGTCAGGGTATATACAGAATCAAACAATGAGCCTTACCTGGTGTGGCTCAGTTGGTTGACCGTAGTCCCATGCACCAGAAGGTTGCCGGTTGAATTCCCAGTCAGGACACATACCCAGGTTACAAGTTAGATTCCCAGTTGGGGTGCACAGGGAGGCAATTGATCAATGTTTCTCTCTCATATGGACTTTTTTCTCTCTCTCCCCACTTCCTCTCTCAAAAAAAATTTTTTAAAAAAAGGATGTAAAGAAAAAGCTTTCAAAGTTTTACCATTAAGTAATGTGTTGTAGGATTTTTTTGCAGATACCCTTTATTAGATTAATTTTCCTTCTACTCCTGTTATTGCAAAAACCCAAGTTAGGTTGCTCGCTGCTCTAAAGCCAATACTCCAGAAACAAGTGTTGGGTGAAAAGGAATTTTTGCTTTATTCAGGAAGACGGCAGGCTAATGTCCAAAGACCATCTCCAAAGTTCCATACCAAGCAGAAGAGTTTTAAAGGAGAGAAAGAAAGAGGGGGAGTTTCAGGAAACTGAGAGAGAAGTCTGTGTTTCTTCAGCCACAAATAACACTTTTTCACATCAGATTTCTGGGCATCAGAAGCTGGTCTCAGCTACCTTGGAAGACATTATTTCCTTCTGCAGCATAAGCTCATAAATACTCATGGCCACCCTGAAAGTATCTCCTGTTTGACAAAGAGACAGGACATCAGCAATTTATAACTACATTCCTGAGAACAAAAGGAGTTGAGCAGGAAAAGCTATTAACATGTGAACAAAGGCCAGAATAAGAATTAAATTATTTAATTCTAGCAGCCCAAAATACCAGGGGCATTAAAATCAAAAGGGGCTCACCTGGCTAGCATGGCTCAGTGGTTGAGTGTGGACCTATGAACCAGGAGGTCACGGTTCAATTGCCAGTCAGGGCACATGCCCAAGTTGCCGGCTGGATTCCCAGTGTGGGGCATGCAGGAGGCAGCCGATCAATGATTCTCTCTCATCATTGATGTTTCTCTCTCTCTCTCCCCCCACTCTCTGCAATCAATTTGTTTTTTGTGTTTTTTTTAAAAAAATATATATTTTATTGATTTTTTTACAGAGAGGAAGGGAGAGGGATAGAGAGTTAGAAACATCGATGAGAGAGAAACATCGATCAGCTGCCTCCTGCACACTCCCCACTGGGGATGTGCCCGCAACCAAGGTATATGCCCTTGACCGGAATCGAACCTGGGACCCTTGAGTCTGCAGGTCGACACTCTATCCACTGAGCCAAACCAGTCAGGGCTCTCTGAAATCAATTTTTAAGAAAAAATTTCACAAGAGGCTTGGTTATAGTCCTGGTTTTCCATGAGCACCACGGTGTACACGTTTTTAATTTAATAATTTCTTGACATTTGAGATGATTATATTTTCTCCATTAATCAATAACCTTTTTTGTTGTTGTTAATCCTCACCTGAGAATATTTTTCCATTGCATTTTAGAGAGTGGAAGGGAGAGGGAGACACAGAGAAAAGCATCTTTTTGAGACAAATGGACTGGTTGCCTCCCACATGCACCTGGACCAGGACTGGGGCAGGCCAAAGCTCTATCCACTGAGCCAAACGGGTTAGAGCAATCAATTACCTACCATTCTTATGCTAAAACAACCTAACTGGCTCATATTGTATTATTCTATTTATATAATACTAGATTTGGTTAACTCCTTGCTTATGAGTTTCTAGATCTACATTTATGAGCAAAACTGGCATATGATTTTCCTTCCATTTGCTGTTTCTGTCAGGTTTTCCTATCAGGGTTACTAGTATACTAGGCTTCATAAAAAGTTGAAGTGTTCACCGTTTTTTGTGTTTGTTTTTTTTAAAAGATATTTTTATTGCCAAAGCCGGTTTGGCTCAGCGGATAGAGCGTCGGCCTGCGGACTGGAGGGTCCCAGGTTCGATTCCGGTCAAGGGCATGTACCTGGGTTGCAGACTCTTCCCCGGTGGGGGATGTGCAGGAGGCAGCTGATCGATGTTTCTCTCTCATCGATGTTTCTAACTCTCTATCTCTCTCCCTTCCTCTCTGTAAAAAATCAATAAAATATATATATTTTTTAAAAAGTAAAAAGCCCTTTAAAAAAAAAAAAGAAAAGAAATTTTTATTGATTTTAGAGAGGGAGAGAGAGAATCATGGATTTTCTGCCTCCTGCACGCCCCCCACTGGGGATCAAGCCCACAACCCGGGCATGGGCCCTTGACTGGAATCCAACCTGGACCATTTCGTCCGCAGGCGGCCGCTCTATCCACTGAGCCAAACCGGCCAGGGCTGTTCACTGTTTTCGTCGCCCGTTCCCCATATACTTGGAAGTATTTGATTAAGATGGAAATTCTGTTTTCCTTACGTTTGGCTGGACTTGCCAAAGAGCCAGGGCTGCCTGGAGTCTGCTTTGTGGGGAGATTTTGGACGACTGTTTTAAGATTTTTAGTCGTTTTGCACATGGGCAAAGTACCTCCCTGGACCTCTCCATTCCCGAAAGCTCCGCAGGGACCTCGACCACAGAACTGGGGAAACGCGGCCACGAGGCGGCCACGGCCCGCCAGGGAGGAAACCGCAAGATCACTCGGGATGCAGCCGGCCCGCAACGCCCGTTTCCCCGGAAACCGTATTCTGACGTCACCACGCGGCAGCGTCCCCCTAGGACCGCAACGGAACCTATTGCATCTGTGACACGCGTGGGTACCCGCCGGTCCTACGTCTGCAGCGGGGCGTGCTTCCGCGTGGTGCCCGGACACCTGCTTCTCCTTCCGGCCCAACTTCCCCTTCTAGCAAGAAGGGGGCGTCCCCATTTCCGAGGAGCAAGCAGATTCAAGGAAATGGCGCCAGTCTCGGAGCCGCAGAAGATACTGAAGCCTTCACCGGGGCGCACGGGACTCGCTATGAGATCGTAACCTACCTCAGACCCCGCCCCGAGGGCCACGTGATGACTCTGGCTCTGCTATCACGTGACTTTCGGTGGCTCGTGACAGCTCTTTGTAGTAGTAGTTTCGGGCGCCAGTGCCTTTCCGGCCGCTTTGCTTCCCCACCCGCCTTGGTCCCCGTCCCTAGGCGCATGCACAGCACAGGGCTTTCTCCAGCATTGTCGCCCAGACCCCACTTCCCTTGCTCCCTCCGGGGTGCAGAGACGCGCGCCCAAGCCGTCCGCCCCTCTGGGCTCTGGAGGAGAAGGTAATCTCGGAACTGGCGGCTAGGGGAGCCGGGAACAGGAAGTTTTCGCTGGCGTCTGCTGAGACTATCGCCGTCGCCACCCAGAGGCCAGCTGGCGCTCCGGTACTGGGTGTGTCTGGTGCTCCTAGTGATGGAGGTGGAGTAGGACTCGCGTGCAGCGTGTCGCCGTCACCTCTCTCTCCCCCTTGGGCTCTTTTGGGAGACCCACGAGTGTATTCCCACCCGTAGGCAAAGCACAGCCGCTTCCTCCGCTGAGGCATTTCAGGGCGTTACACCACTTTCTGAATTTCTGCCTCGCAGCCTCTGCATTTTAACTCCCCGCTCCGGCTTAACTCAAACCTGCCCCCATGGTCCATGTGGGCATATCAAATATAAATTGCCCCGGTTTTTTAGGTTTTTAGCTATCCAGTTCCAGGAATACCTTCCTCCTTGTCCTCGATTTCCATCCCCACCCCATGGTAGTAGGACTGATCCACCGCTACTAGAGGCTTATTACTGTATCTGGTATTCCCCGTCCGCCCCTCTCAGGATATTTGGCATAATTTCCCCTGGTTACTCTGGTTGAAACACATTCTTCAAAAATATTTTCCTCCACTTATTAGGTTTGCTTGGGTTTTTTGTTTCTTGCTTTTGTTTGTTTTTTTCTTAGAGAAATATCCATGTAAGATGGAAACATCCATTGGCTGCCTCTTGCACGCCCCCTCACCGGATCCAGTGTTAGAGTGTGGACTGAAGGGTCCCAGGTTCGATTCGGATCAGGGGCACATGCCAGGGCTGTGGGCTCAATCCCCAGTGGGGGGCTGCAGGAGGCAACCAGTCAATGATTCTTTCTCATCACTGATGTTTCTATTTCTTTCTATCCCTCTCCCTTCCTCTCTGAAATCAATAAAAATATAAAAAGAAAAAAAAGTGTTGTTAATATTGGGAAAAAAAAATCTATAAACAGTGTGGTGCTAGGGGTGGGAACGGCTGGGGAGAGGTCAACGGGGAAAAAGGAAACATATACAATACTTAATGTGGATGAGAACTAACTGCTGATCATCGAATAAAGTTATAAAACTATAAACAAAAAATGAAAAATAAAGTCTTTATGGATATATCATCAATATTTATCATATTGGATTTTAAAACAAAAAATTTTAGCCCACTAATACAGAAGCACACATTCCATTAGCTTTCAGAGTAACTAGTGGTAAAATCAACCCTGTTTCCTTAGAAAACTCCACTGTGAATGCGAATGAATAAGAGAGAAATGGGCAAATAAAGTCTTAGTGTTATTATGAAAATAGTTTTAACCTTGCCAATTTTTGTAAAAAGCTTTGAGAACCACTGCTCAAAAAAATAAAAATCACAGTTTAGAAACAGGGCCTTTCACTTCCTTGAACAATTTAGATAGGAGCCCTGTGGAACCTTGATCAGGATCTAGGCTGCTGGTGCAATATAGACAGTAACCCGTGGAATTTACAAGGTGTGCTCTGGAATGTTGTCCTAAACTCCTCACTGGTATTTGTCCTATAGTCTGGAGAAGATTCGTGTGTAAAAAATAACAGGTCATACCAAAGTAATTAAATATCAATTGCTGAGAAGGATAAACTTCAATTTAATGGGAAAAACCCCAGTTCCTGAAAAGGTATCAGAATTTCAACAGAAATTTCACAAGCTAAGAACTTGCTTGAAGAGAGCAACCATTAAAATAGGAAAGCATCTCTTTGATGAAGTGGAAAAAATTACTTGTTTTGCTATAAACTAAGAAGAAAATGTAAAGAGATCTATAGAAATGTTTAAGTTCATATGAAAAAAATGCATAAGAATTCCATGAACCTTTTGGAGAAAAGATAGCTCTTAATGAAATAAAGCTGCTTGAGAAAGTTAAGTGAAGGCTTCCTATCAGTAACAGAGAGGAAGTTGGAATGAGCAAAACAAAGTTCAGGAAAGTCTGACAGTACACCAGAGGTCTTCAAAAGAGAGGAAATAATCTCCTGATTGTAAGAGTGATGATGCTAAAGTTTTAAATAACTGTCTTGTGCAGATCATTTCTGAAACTGAGGAAAAAGTAATAGGAAAGTGCCGGAAGCCGTTCCAGCTGGACCCTGGCAGGAAAGTAATTGTATTTTCTGAATTAGACAAGAGAGAGCCAGGACTTATAAGTTGAGAAAGTGAGAGAAGACAGTTTTATCAGTTATCTGTTGCTGTGTAATAAACCACCACAAAACTTGGTGGCTTGCAGCAGTAGTGATTTCTTTCTATCTTTCATGATTATCTGGGATGGGTAACAGTTTATCTGCTGGTTTTGCCTTAGGCTCACTCTTGCAGCTGCATTCAGTCCTGAGGTGGTTGGGCTGGAATGTCAAGGTGGTCTCACTCACATGTCTGGCAGGTGGTGCTGGCTGTCCACTGTGAGCCTTGGTTCTTGTACATTTGACCTCCTGTTCTCTGGGCAGCATCCTAAGATAAGAGGGTGAAAGCAGAAGCTGCAGGTCTCTGGCTTTGGAATCATATAACATCTCTTCTGCCATATTCCATTGATAAAAGCAAGTCACAAGGTCAGCCTAGATTCAAAAGGTGGGGAAACAGATAACCTCTTGATGGGAGGAAGTGCAAAGTCATATTGCATAGGATCCTGGGAGGAGTTTATGGCCATATTTTGCAATTTATCACAGCAGGAAATGACATGGATGTGACAAAGATCCGAGCTACATTAACATTAGTTCAAGAAGAGAAAGCAACCTGGCTGGAGTGGCTTAGTTGGTTGAGCTTCATCTGATTGCTAGTTCGATTCCCGGTCAGGACACATAACCGGGTTGCACATTTGATCCCTGGTTGTGGCACATACAGAATGCAACTGATCAATGTTTCTCTTTCCTTCCCTCTCACTCTGTCTGGAAATCAATGGAAAAAATATCCTAGGGTGAGGAGTAACAAACAAAAACAAAAAAAAAGTGTTTACAACTAAAGAAAGAAAGGGAAAAAAAAGCATTTACAACTTTTAGCTGAGTGCTAGAATGTCAATTATACATGATTGGAAGAGAACCCAAAGTACTTGTTCACTGTAGTCACTGCAAGGCCTCTAGAAAGTGTATTATAAAGTTTCAAGCTAAAAATTGAACTCATTGATCAGACAGAATACCATACTGGAAGAATTTCAGCAGAAAAAACATTAGAAGCAGTCAGCAAAGAAAGGGGAATATTAAAATCAGTGAACTCAATAAAATGGAGATAAACTATAGAATACGAAAATATAAGGCAACATTTTCTTCTGCACAAGAATGCCCATGACAATCCTTCCTCGTGAAATGAAAGAGCAGTTGTGGGAGAGATGAACCAAGCCAACTTTCTGAGACAGAAATTAATAGAAGAACAAATAAAAAAAGTTGCTAGTACTCTGAAAACCGGGAATTGTTAAAGCAACTCCAAGAAGACATTTTGTAGTCTCTTTCCAAACAATACATCAATTTCATTTCTAAGATGCCAAATGCTTTGTTTCCTATCGTAATTAGAGTCTTTATAAAAATAGTAATGCAATATCTAATGGCTCCCTCAATGAAGGATCTTTTAAATTCATGCCTGAGGGTGGATAAGTACAGTACTCCTCAGTAATGAAGAATGGTCTGTGAAATTACAGATACTCTGACCATTAATGGAAGAGATGTGCTTAGACTGGAACCCTGATGCTACTACTAATCAGTATCAACCTCAAATTCCCCCCTTTACCATCTTGGATGGCTTGGTTCACTCTGGTACAAATCCCAACCCTCCTTTGCACTGTCTATCACAAGCTCACCACCAGCAGGACTTCTACCTCCTTCTGGTCAGTTTGGACCACCTTGCTCTCCACTTCATGGGCATCAAACTTTTCTTCCATACCTTGTTCCTGGAAGGACTCCACCTTAGGCCTAAGAGAAAGCACGCCTGGCCTCTACCTGATACAATGGCCTTGTTCCATGACTGTTATATCTGTAAACATAGATAGATCTCCACCTTTTATCTTTAGTAATACGATTTTGATAATTATAAGTAATGATGCTCTTAATATGTACTTTGATGCACATATACATGCATTTCTGTTGGGTAAATACCTCGGAGAGAAGTTGTTGGGTCACAGGGTATGCATATATTCAACTTTAGCAGATAGTATCAGTTTTCCAAAGAGGTAGTACATAGCTAAAAGATTATATGTATACATATACATATATAAGCATATATATACACACACACATATAAAAGCAGCCTTGACTGGCCAGTATTGCTCAGTGGTTTAAAAAATATATATTTTATTGATTTTTTACAGAGAGGAAGGGAGAGGGATAGAGAGCCAGAAACATCGATCAGCTGCCTCCCACACACCCCCTACTGGGGATGTACCCGCAATCAAGGTACATGCCCTTGACCAGAATCGAACCCGGGACCCTTGAGTCTGCAGGGCGATGCTCTATCCACTGAGCCAAACCAGTTAGGGCTGGCTCAGTGGTTTAATGTCCACCTATGAACCAGGAGGTCATGGCTCGATTCTTGGTCAGGGCACATGCCTGGGTTGTGGGCTCAGTGTGGGGTGTACAGAAGGCAGCCAATCATTGATGTTTCTCTCTCTCCCTCTCCCTTCCTATTAAAAAAATAAATAAATAAAAGCAGCCTCTTTGTCTTTCATTTAAGATTAACTTATTGAAGACCCCAAAGCAATTTTGTATGGAAAATAAGAGTTAACCTATGAAACACAGATATAGTGTGTGTGTGCATCAAAACACCAGTAGAATTTTGTTTTGCTTCTGATTGGGACAAGGGTCACAATAATTTCTCCACCAAATAGACCATTTCTTTTCTACAGGGTGGGGCAAAAGTAGGTTAACAGTTATAACTATTCTTATACTGTTATTTCTTATTGTATTATTTTCCATATGGACAACTGTAAACCTACTTTCGTAATTCACTCCCTGTGTAATTCAGAACCCTATTTCCTACCATATTTCAATGAAAGTTGAATGAGTGAATTAATAGGTATTCTCTATAGATTGTTTAACCACACACACTTCAATAAAGAGGCAGCCAATCAATGATTCTCTCTCATCATTGATGTTTCTATTTCTCTCTCCCTCTCCCTTCCTCTCTCTGAAATCAATTAAAAACATATTTAAAAAAATACATTTTATTTTAAAAATTGAGCTATTAGCTGGTAAAGTGTGTATACATTTTTGGGGGACACCCTGTGAATTAAAAAATTTACAATTATTTTCTCTGAGGTGATCTAAATGGTTCACATAGCGAGCTTTAGGGGGAGTCTATGTATCCATTATGCAGCTTTCACCTTATTGCATTTGGAGCTTTTAGTTGGGACTAAATATATGGCTAATTTTTAATTTTCATTATAATTGATAATATAGAGATATATTTTTTTTAAAATATATTTTATTGATTTTTTACAGAGAAGAAGGGAGAGGGACAGAAAGTCAGAAACATCGATGAGAGAGATCGATCAGCTGCCTCCTGCACGCCCCCCAGTGGGGACGTGCCCGCAACCACGGTACATGCCCTTGACCGGAATCGAACACGGGACCCCTGAGTCCGCAGGCCGACGCTCTATCCACTGAGCCAAACCGGTTCGGCAATATAGAGATATTTTGATATATTAGGCACACAGCACTGTTCTCTGTGCCATGAATCTAGTTGATTTTCTAGTGGGCTCACTTCAGTTTCCAAAACTATGAAGTACTTCATAGATTCACACAGTGCTTTTCAGCATTTGAAGTGTTTGACATTTTACATTATCTTCTTTGATGCTCAGAAGTGCTTGGAGAAGTCAGCAAGGCTGGTATGTGTGTCTCATTTTTTTGGTTAAAAAAAGAGAGTCTTGCCTAGCTGGTTTGGCTCAGTGGATAGAGCGTTGGCTTGTGGACTGAAAGGTCTCGGGTTTGATTCTGGTCAAGAGCACATGTCTGGGTTGCGGGCTCAATCCCCAGTAGGGAGCAGGAAGCAGCCAATCAATGATTCTCTCTCATCATTGATGTTTCTATCTCTCCCTCTCCCTTCCTCTCTGAAATAAATTAAAATATATATTTTTTAAAAAGAGAGGCTTTCTCTACTGTGTTCATCAAATGTTGTTTGTGCAACATCATGCATCTACAAATGGACTGGAATTCAGGTTTCCAGACTTTTTACTCTGATGTACCAAGGACCCTGGTTTTCAGTAGCTGTTTGGCATATTTCTTTTTTTTTTAATCTTTAATTTCTTTATTGGTTAAGGTATTACAAGTGTGTTCTCATCCCCCCATTAACCCCCAACCTCCTTCCCCCCAACTCATGCTCTCATCCCCCTGTTGACTGTATCCATTGGTTTGGCTTATATGCATGCATACAAGTCCTTTAGTTGATCTCTTTGACATATTTCTTAATCTCTGTACTTCAGTTTTCATGTCTGTAACAAGGAGATAATAGCTATTCATTGAACGAGCACAATTCAATGAATACAATTCAATTAATTTAATTGAATTTAATTTAATTAACATACGCAAAGCTCTTTAAACAGTATCAAGCTCACAATAAGTGTTAAATAAATGTTAAATTATATGTTTATTGTTTTAGCATATCCAATTTACTTGTAAGGAGGGTTGGGATCATCCCAGTATACACATTTGGAAAATTCCCAGTTGAGTGTACATGTTAGAGGCAAGTTTCTGACGTGTCTGTGGGTAGTACAGCTTAAATCTTGTTTATAATTTAACCACTACAAAAATGTAGTGGTCCAATAATCCCACTAGTCTCACTTAACCACATTGAATTTGTCCTTGAAATGGTCCTCCCAGCGAGAAAAGACTTTAAGGGCGTGGCAAGTGGTATTTGAGGTATTAAAAAAAGCAGAAATCAATGAACTGTAATAGAAAAATCCAGCATATTAGAGAGCCCAAGTGTGCTCGGTAGTGTAACGACCTACCCAATCTTTCTTAGCAGAGAAGATGTTACGGGAAACTCCACATCAGACGCAGCTGGGAACTCTGTCGAAGTTAAAAAAAAAAAAAAGAATAAAGTTTCAGTTTTGTGAAACATCTGGTGCTCAGCCATCTGTTTTTGCCTGCACAAACAAATGCTTAAGGTCGGTGCGGTTTCCTCAGGACACCTTGCAGGGCGGAGTGACAGCGCGGGAGCAACAAGTTGCGGCGAGCAGCTAATTTAAGCACGTTCTCGGGGTCGGAGGCACCTGCACTTCCTGTTACTACAGTTCGGGCCACACTGCTGCCATCCCTAGCTTTTTGGAGACACCCCCAGCCCATATTCCTACTGGGGCCACCCTCTGGTGTCTCCAGCTCAAGTGCAGGGCTTGACCTCCGCCAGCAGTTGCCCCCAAATACGGGAGTTTCGCTCCCCCAGGCCAATAACACGGCCTCTAGCTTGAATTATTTGTTAAAAGGTGAGCAGGTAGACGCCCTTCAGGCACTCGGGATCTCCCATTGTGGTTGAGAGCTAGATGCCCTGGACACACGACGCCGGCTAAACTCCACCGGGCATTGAGGCCCCACCCATGGCAACGCCACTCCCACGTCCGCGCGGCGGGGGCCGCCATAGGCCCGCGGCGGAGCCCAGGACGACGTGTGGCGCGTGGTCCCCCAGGACCACCCGTGCGGAAACACCGTCCGCGCTGCCGGGCAAGGTTCTGTGCACCTGTTCCTTCCTTCTGCTCCAGCGTCTCTCCCTCCGGGAAAAAAAAGTGCACAGGAGAACAAGAGACGTGACAGCGAACACAGATGAAAAACAGGGCGGAAGATTAAGCCCAAAGTAAGAAGAAGCCGGGCACCTTTAAGCTTTCTGGCAGTTCACGTGACTCAGGGCCCCGGGAGTCACGTGACGGCGCGCGCGCCCACGCGCAGGGGCAGCGGGCGAGCGCCGTGCGCGCGCCTCCCCGCTGCCTCCGTCTCCTCCTCGGGAGGGAGAGGAGCCGCGGGGTGGGATCGGCGGCCGGAGCCGGGTGCGCGTGCGCAGCGAGCAGCTGTCACCCAGTGCGGAACAAGTCTCCCGAATTTCCTAAATCTCTTTGGGCCGGAGGCCACCGTCTTCCTTCTCCTGTTCCTCCCCCGGGCCGTGTCCTCACCCCGCCCGCGCGCCAGGTAACCGCTTTTCCGGAGTCCCGGGGATGGGGGCGGCAGGGGAGGGCCCGGGCGACCTTCCCGGCACTGCCCCCCTCCGCGCGGGGCAGCAGGGATTGCCGGCGTCCGGGCGAGTGGAGACGCCGGACCTGGGGCGCTCGGTCCGCGGCCGCCGGGACTGTCAAGCAGGGGCGAGAGCGTTCGGCCGTGGTCGCAGGGGAGGGAGGCGGGAGCCGGTGACAGCCCGCTCTGGCCCTCTCGGGGGTTCGGGGCGGCGCTGGGTGTTCTGCCGGGGGCCGGAGTCGTGGTCGCGCTCCTTGGGGCGGAGGAGCGCGCGGGTGGTCCAGAGATGCCAACTCCTTTCGGTTCCCCCGCCAGCGGCGTCCTGGGCGGACGCGGGGAAGCAGGGCCTGCTGCGCCTCGCGGGGCCATCTCTTCACGGGGACTGTCACCGCCGCGGGGTGAGGATGGGGTTCCTCCCCGGAGCGCCCGGTCGCAGGCACCTCGCCTGGCTCTGGGGCACCTCCTCAGCCCCCGCGGTTGTCCTTTCGGTTTTTCCGGCACGGGGCCATTTCTGCAGTGCCCGAAACCACGGTGCGGTTGCTTACTACATAGGAGTTGGATCGGGTCGCGTGGAATGCCAGGCACGGGACGGGGCTTGGGGTGGAGGAGGGAGCCAGGACAGGCAGGCTGGGGGCTCTGAGCTCGAGTTTGGGTTTTTGCTCGGGGCTCCGCCGATGAAACCCGCGGGGCTCGATTCGGATGCTTTCCGGGTGAGCTCGGAGGCAGTCTGCCCCCGAGCTGCACCGTGCTCGTCTGCACCGGCTGCGTTCCTTGTGTGCGATAGCTGGGAGGGGTTTGTCTGGTTCCTCCTCCGGAAGAAGGGAGGGCAAACTTTTTTTAGCACTTGGTAAATGACCACGCGAGGTGGTGTTTGAAGCACTGCTTGGGAAATGTAGGTTGGAAGTTGCGGTTGGCCCACCTTTATCTCGGCGAGAAAGTTTCTGGTAGGCTCTCTTCACCTAGGTTCGGACCAAACTTTGCCCTATTTCACCCACTTGAATTTGCAGTATTTTTTTTTTTTTTTTTAAATCTCGGGAAACTCTGCTTCACTGTTTCTATGGCAACGATTACTAATTTAATTTGGAAGGGTAGTGCTTGGAAATTAGTGGCTGTAATTTTTAAAGGTTCATTATTACTTTATAGCACTCGGTTCTCTCTCTCTCTTTCTCTCTCTCTCTCTCTCAAATATATCTTGATTGATTTCAGAGAGGAAGGGAGAAGGGAGAGAGCGATAGAAACATCAATGATAAGAGAGAATCATTGATTGGCTGCCTCCTGCAGGTCCCCTACTGGATCAAGCCCACAACCTGGGCATGTGCCCTTGACCGGAATTGAACCTGAGACCCTTCAGTCCACAGGTTGATGCTCTACCCATTGAGCCAAACCAGCTAGGGCTCTGTTCCCTTTTAAGATCATTATTCTAGTTCTTCCTCCTTGCCAGTCCCCTTCCATCCTCATCCCCCCACTTTGTGTAGGAATGTATTACATGGGGTTCAGAGTTTTTAGGCTCTCTCTTTCCCAATTTAAGGTGCTATGTAAAGTTTGCACATAATCTTTACAGCACCCCACGAACTTGGTAATTGTATGCAGTTTACTTTTTTATTTTTCTCCCTTTTTATTGAATTTATTGGGGTGACACTGATAAACAAAAGTAAAATTGTATAGGTTTCAGGTGCACAATTTCACAACACATCTGTACACTGTATTGTGTGTTCACCACCCCAAGTCAAGTCTATGTCCGTCGTCATCTGTCCCCCCTATGAATGCAATTTAAATTGGATGTTTGTTTCACATTAACAGACTTTAATCCATTGCTTTTCTAAAGTTAAAAATATACCTTTTAGTCTAGTTGTAGTGGTGTTGGGGTCCAACCCCAGCAGGTCCAGGGGTTCCTAAAAGTGTGGACTGAGTCGGCGAAGAAGGAATGACATAGAGACAGTGTTCAGTTGATCAGCAGCCTAGCCAGGATCTACAGCCAAGTTCTGTGTTTTGTTGTCTTGTTACATCTGTATTTATACCAGTTGATTTTAATCCTATCAATTCTATTCCAGCCCTGACTGGTTTGGCTCAATGGATAGAGTGCCGGCCTGCGGACTGAAGGGTTCCAGGTTCGATTCCAGTCAAGGGCATGTACCTTGGTTGCAGGCACATCCCCAGTAGGGGACGTGCAGGAGGCAGCTGATTGATGTTTCTCTCTCATCAATGTTTCTGACTCTCTATCCCTTTCCTTTCCTCTCTGTAAAAAATCAATAAAATATTTAAAAAAAAAATTCTATTCCAAAGGTTAGGGCATTTCTTATCTCCATTCCAGGGAGTAAAGATTATGTAGCTTAAGCGTGATTGTTCGTAGTTAAAGTGATTAACTACCTGCCTGGCACCTAGTTGCGGGGTTTTATTCCCTCCCTAACTTCAAGGGAAAATCCCCACCTGGGGAAACAACCTTTCTCGGAGAGGTGACCTTGGTTAAAACACATAGCGCCAAGAAGGGGGGGCAAACATATTAAGAACAGTATGCCATATACGCCAGGTCCCTTGAAACATATGCTGTGCAGATGTTTCTTTCCTGCAGTGACTGTGTCAAACAGGAAGGATGGACGGGCTTCCGGCATAGTGGTTCAGTGGTTGAGCATCAACCCATGAACCAGGAGGTCACTGGTTCAATTTCCGGTCAGGGCACATGCCCACATGTCCAGGTTGCAGGCTCAGTCCCTGGTAGGAGGTGTGCAGGAGGCAGCTGATAGATGTTTCTCTCTCATTGATGTTTTTCTCTCTCTCTCTCTCTCTCTCTCTCTCTCTCTCTCTCTCTCTCTCCTTTCTTCTCTCTGAAATCAACAAAAACATATTAAAATCCCCTAATGAAAAAACAAAAGAAAATCTGGAAACAGGAGAATTTATAGGAAAAAGAGAAATCAGCAGTAATTGACATTTTCATTTTTTGAAAATTTCTAACCTGTTTTGTTTTAATAAACTAGATAAGATTTTACTATAGCTTTAATGTAAAGCTTTTATTAAATTTTGACTCTTTGTAGATATAGGGACTACTTGGGAACGGTGAGGATACTTACCATTGGTTACCTAGGGATGGAATTTCTGGTCTTGAAATTGAGCTGATTCTTAAGGAACAGAATCTTTCATCTGATACTATTAAGGTTTGAGAACTAAGTATGTGCTAAATAACTCATTTCCCTTTCCTCCCCTGAGAAACATCCTTACTAGTATATTTGTATGTTTTATAGTACTACAGAGTTTTTCCTTGCACAGTTGTTTGCTATATGTGCTGTTTGTCTTATTCTTGCTGGGTGGTTTATTCTGCCTAGTAGTGGATACATTTCCTTAAATTTTAGATGTAGAACATATAGCAGTGAACATAGTAGAGAAGTGATTCCCTACCATTTCATGAAAGAGGAGTATATTGAATGTGAATGCTCAGTTACACTGTAGCTCTATATTTTCAGATACTCAGTGGTTTTAGTTACTATGGTATTTATGAACTGCTGCTCCATAGAATCTTTAAAATTTATTCTAGATTCTGATAGGTTTGCATGATACTTTACTGTGGCAAGTATTTAAGGAGCAGAATAATGTGTCATCAAACCATTTTGGTGTTGACTTCCTTTTTTTAATTTTTTTTTTTATTTTTTATATCTCCATTCAGTTCCAGTTACTAATTTGGCATCTCTACATGTTAACTCTTAACAAGTTGAACCCCAGCCCAGCCTGAGTGGCTCAGTGGTTAAGCGTTGACCTATGAACCAGGAGGTCAAGGCACATGCCTGGGTTGTGGGCTTGATCTCCAGTGTGAGGCATGCAGGAGGCAGCCAATCAATGATTCTCTCGTATCATTGGTGTTTCCATCTCTCTCTCCCTTTCCCTTCCTCTCTGAAATCAATAAAAACATATTTAAAAAATTATGTACAAAACCCCACAAAAAACCCCAAAACAAGTTGAACATCTTTCATCTCAGCTCTGCTTCTCTGGGGTTTCTCAAGCATCTCATCCCATTTCATTGCTCACTAGGGTAACCAGGAGTTATCCCAGAAACCTCATGGTTCCTCAGCCTTCTCACCCAAACTATCACCAAATTTTGTCATGCTTGCTTCCTAAATATATATATCAGATCAGTTCTGCTAGTCTCCACCTGGCAACATCTCAGTACCTTCTGCAGTCTCCTTCCTTTCTCAGTTCTATTCAGCGAGCTTTTAGAATGCAAATCAGATCTTTCTCATTGTCCTGAGGACATTTGAAATTCCTGTTATTGCCTCCTATCTCATGCTCCCGGAAAGCCTTTTCTAGATGGTCTACTTTTCCTCTCTGCCCACTGGCTTTTCTTTTCTTGTACAGGCCTTGGCTATTTGCTGCCAGGCAGACTTTCCTTCCCACTTAATTCCTTTTCTTACATCATTCTGGTCTCTGCTTGAAAGCACTTCCTCAGAGAATCCTGATCTGTCACCCCATCTCTTCCCTGATCTAAGTCAGCTTCCCTAGTGAATATCTTAATTTCCTGAGCTTTTCCTTCCATAACACTTAGCAGTTTATAATCTTATTTATGTGATTATTCTATTGTTTACTCCTAAAGGTAAGAATTCTATAAGGGTAGGGGTCAAGTATTTTTATTTACTTATATCACACCAACACACCACTGTCTCACCAGCACT